CCCCCCCCCCCTTTTCTTCATAATTTCTATATTTATGTATTTAATGTTTAAATTATTAAAAAAATTAAATTTCCTGGAACTTCACTGAGAGTTCTAGCCGTTTTGAAATGTTAATTCCAGCGACAGGTTGATCCATTGCTACATCCGGTAGTTTTGCAGTCACGTGTACACAAAATAATAGCTACTCCATGCACAGAGGTCTCTCTGCCCCTAAAAAGACCAAGCGGGTTTTATACTTAAACAAAAACATGCTAAGACTAAACAGAATAATATGTCTACCCGCTGAGTGGGGTAAAATCGTGTAGGCGAATACAAAATAAGGGATAATGCATTCAAAGACATACACATTTAAACACGATTATTGTTTTTATTTTCCTCACTCCAGAACTCCAATCGAATATCATAATATTAAGTACTAGAACAAATGACCTGATGTTATCGGGATAATAATGGTAGATCCTTTCTGATAATTTCTAACTGCTATTGCAAAAACTCATCACAATTCATAACTTTAAAGATGTAATGATATTTACGTATTCTAAGATCTTTAAGTTTTGAGAAGTATTTATCTGCTATATATTATAGGCCTACCCTACTCCTTTTCACGCTCCTAAACTACTTTTTTCCCCCTCTAAACATGACCTTAAATTACACAGTCTAAATTATCACTAAATTTATCACTTTTGTCACTAAAGAAGTTAATTGAGGGATTATTACTATGTTAGAGAAATACTTTAGATTTACTCCCTTTCGTGCCCTTGAATTACAACTTTTTTTCTCTAAAATTTGTTTAAAAAACTTACCTTGAATTTACACCAAAAATTCTATGTATGATATTAAAATATTTTATTTTATAGGATATATATATTGATATCTTCAGCAAAAATTTAAACACATTTTGTTTTTTTCTTTAAAACATTATATATTATCAGAAACTCGTAAAACAAAGAATTTTTTTATCTAAAGAAGAATCTCGCAACCGTTTTTCTATAACAGATCTGAGTGTTTTTTTTTGTTTGTTTGTTTTTTTTAAAATTTAAATGGTTAATCGCATCAAATACACATCTATTTGTTGAGCCTTCTCGTCCATGAGGGGCATCCACCGATCATCGTCGGCGTCTGCGGTTCCTCCAAGGGTATAGGCCACCTACGAGAGACCTCCAGGCATCTCTATCCTGGGCCAGCTTCTCCAGGATCTTCCATTCATGGACAATTTTCTTGATGTCTGTCTCCAATTCTCGGCGCCAAGTGTTTCTTGGACGGCCTCTTTTCCGCTTACCCTGTGGGTTCCATTTCAGGGCTTGCTTTGTTATGTTAGAAGCAGGTTTTCTTAGTGTATGACCAATCCACCTCCACCGCTTCTGGAGAATCTCTTCCTCAATGGGTTTCTGTTTAGTCCGCTGCCACAGTTCCTGGTTGCTGATTTTGTCTGGCCAGTGAATTCTGAGAATCCTTCTTAGACATTTGTTGATGAAGGACTGGATTCTGGTCAGGTTTACGGCCGTTGTTCTCCATGTCTCGGCTCCATATAGCAGCACAGGTTTTACCATAGCGTTAAAAATCCTTAATTTTAACTTGCTGCCTAAGTTGTTAGAGACCCAAACATTCTTGAGTTGTTGGAAGGCTGCTCTTGCTTTTCCTATCCTTATTTTGACGTCCGCATCTGTACCACCTTGTTTATCTACCATGCTGCCAAGGTAAACAAAACTGTCCACCTCCTCAAGGGCTTCTCCTTCAAGCATAATGGGTGATGTACTGGTGGCATTAACCTTGAGGATTTTACTCTTCCCTTTGTGAATGTTGAGACCCATGCTAGCAGAAGTGGCTGCGACAATGTTTGTTTTCTCCTGCATCTGTTGTTGGGTATGTGCAAGAAGTGCAAGATCATCAGCAAAGTCAAGATCATCCAGTTGATCCCACAAGGTCCATTGGATGCCATTTCTTTTCTGCTGTGTAGATGTTTTCATCACCCAGTCAATGGCTAACAGGAAGAGGAATGGTGACAGCAAGCAACCTTGTCTCACACCAGTCTTCACCTGGAAAGCATCTGTCAACTGCTGGCCATGGATAACTCGGCAGTTTATCCCTTCGTACATGTTTCTGATTATATCAGTAATCTTCTGTGGCACCCCGTAATGCCTTAGCAATCTCCACAGGGTTTGCCTGTCAACACTGTCGAAGGCTTTTTCATAGTCAACAAAGTTGACATAGAGCGGCGAGTTCCACTCTAGTGACTGCTCTAGAATGATGCGCAGTGTCGCTATCTGGTCCGTGCAGGATCTGTTGGTGCGAAAGCCGGCTTGTTCGTCCCGCAACAGAGGGTCTACAGCGTTTTTCATCCTGTTAAGTAGTACACGGTTGAAAACCTTTCCTGGGATGGACAGCAGGGTGATCCCTCTGTAGTTCGAGCAGGAGCTTAAGTCTCCCTTCTTTGGGATCTTGATAAGGTATCCCTCTTTCCAATCGGAAGGAACTTGCTCCTCTTCCCATATCTTCATAAACAGAGGGTGTAGCATTTCCACACTGGTTTCCAGGTCCGCCTTCAGTGCCTCTGCTGGGATGCCATCAGGTCCCGCAGCCTTTCCATTTCTGAGTTGTTTAATGGCCCTGCTAATCTCTTCTTTGGTGGGACTATTACAGTC